CGGAGGAAGGCAAGGCAGCAGCTGAGTCATGGGAGGCCCCTGGCAGTGATCGGAGGTGTCTGCCGAGAGGAGGTGCAGAAGCTGGTGGGAGGCCCCCCACCTTCCCCTGGCCGAGACAGGGGGGAGCAGAGAAAGGGTGAGGAGAACCAACCCCAGACAGAGAGCCACAGAGGACAGGACCCCTGAGGACCAGCGGGGGGATGGTCTTTCTCTCTCTCTCGGCTAAGGGGGCTGGTGCAGAGACAGGGTTCGGAGACAGAGCAAGAAAGGGGCAGGGGGCTGGGAGGAGGGCTGTGCGACCCAGAAGCAGCTCGGCTCTTTGGTATGACGAAGGTGGCAGCGTCCGGTGTCCCTCTCACTCCTCCTCCACGCTCCGGGGCCCCTTGGCCGCTCGCCTCTGCCGCCAGCGCAGCTCCTCCACCTGGCGCTCCAGCCCCCGCACCTTGGCCTCCAGCTGGGCCCCGGAGGCCCGGGTGCCAGTGAGCCGGCTCAGCAGGGCGTAGAGCGTCAGCAAGGACAGGAGGAGCAAGGCCCGGGTGGAAGGGTCGGGCACTGACCTCACCAGGGCCACAAAGGCGGCCAGGAAGAGGGCAAGCTTCAGGCCCCACAGGATCCGCCCCAGCAAGGCCAAGACCAAGCCAAGGAGCAGGGACAGCAGCCAATAGGCAACCAGGGCCCCCGCTCCCCACAGCAGGAAGGTCTGGACTTGGCTGGGGCTGAGCTTCAGGCCCTGGGTGAGGTGATCTCCTGGAAGGGGAGAGAGTCACAGGATCAGCCAACCTGGTGCCGTGAAAGGAGAGGGTTGGTCACCAACCAAAAGGGGGAGGAGCCAAATCCCCTGGCCAAGGAAAACTCCTTTCCCACCGGGTCGCAGAGCTTAAATCTCAGCTCCGGTCCCAGCTGACTGTGGGTAGACTAATTCCCTTGGTTGAGCCTCTGCTGCATCTATGAAATGGGAGTAACTCTCTGGGCTGTGGGTGACAGTTAGATGAGATGTTATGGCTTAGCATGATGCGGCAGTTAGCAGCCTGCTCTTATGCTGGTCTCTGGGGAGACCTGGGAGATGCTGAGCAGCCAGGGAAAAGTCTAGACCCTGAAAAGATAAATTCCCACAAACAGGAAGGGACAGGCTAAGCTCCAGCTGCCCTAACCATTCTCTGCCACTCACCTTCTAGCCCCAAGGCGTTCAGCAGCTGTGCGGCAACCCCAGACAGAGTGAGGAAGGCCACAGAGATGGCCGATGAGACCACCCACATCACCTGAGCCAAGGTCTGTGGGAAGAGCAGAGCATGGGTTGAGTCCGTGATTAATGATGCTCTGCTCTTCTGAGTCTCACCACCGCTGCCCACGAACACCTCCACCTGCTTCTCAGTCTGGCTGAGGGGTCCCTTCCACAGCCACCTTCCAGTGCGTGGGGATGGACGGTGGGCCATTTCTCCTTCCTGTCTGAACTGGAACCCAGGACACTTGGGCCCTAATTCAACTGATGTGCTGGAATACTTTGGCGGTAGTAGTGGGTGAACGTGGGCATGTGGGGGTGATCATCCAATCCCTGGAGTAGTCACCCTGTAAAACTGGGGTCCTCCTAGCCTCCCAGGGAATCATGAAGGTGTGTGAAGTAACAGCGGTGGAGGGCTAGGATGTTTCAATGAAAAAGAAGTCAATCAGCTCTTCTATATTATGCATTTTATAAATGATTGTTTCAGCCATTTAGGACGACGTATCAAAAGTATGCACCAGCAGGCTCAGGATGCCATTAGGTAGAAGAGACAGCCCTGCCTAAGAACCCTGAGTCATCCTCACCTCCACCTCTGAAGGTGAAAGAATGAACTCAGGTCTTGATATTTTGCCAACTTAAGCCTCTAGGTCAGATTTAGACCAAAGCCAGACTCTATAGTCACCGGTGACGTAGGTTGATAAAGATGGCTCATTTCCCAACCTTTCCGGCAAGAAAGGGCAGGAATAAGGCAAAGATGGGGGTGGAGCTAAAGGCCCTGGGGTAGGAATGAAACAATGAGAGTGCAAAAGGCCGTGGCTGTCTGGCTTCATTCTGTGGAACTGGGGGCTCTCTCCATGAACAATGGCTCCTCTGTCCTCAATGCACGTAGCCACAGCAGGGAACACCTTCCTTACCTCAGAAACTAGGTGTGTGGTTTCTGGACCAATCCAGGCATCCAAGGTTCCCCGCACAGATCGACCTATCTGGCTCAGGAGATCAACTGGGGCCTCCCTCTTCTGCTGGCCTGGTGGCACGAAGTCTCGATGGGACTGAGATGATGCTGAGTGGAGGAGGACGACGGCCGCTAGGAACATCAGGACGACTTTGAACAGATGCTTGCCCCGTGGTGAACTGCTGCCTGAGCCTGCCATGGCTGGGTCTGCCAGAGAAGAAGCATGGGGTGAGCGGAGGGCCCGAACTGGCCGAGAAACCCACTGTCCCGAGCATGACGGGCCCCAGCACCCCCCTCCGCCCCTCCCTGTTAGCTGACAAAGGCAGAACTCAGACTTCAACTTAAGCCGGGCACAACCATCTCATTCACGGGTTCCTCTCTCACGTTCTTTACAACTTGCATATTAACTAGCCAGCAAGTATCAGTCAATGCCTTAAGGTGGATGAGAAGATCTCTCTAAGGCTTATTCCAGTTCTAAAACCCTGAAGGTCTGCCTTTGTGTCTTAGGTGCTTTCTAAGAAAAAAAAATTATAAGACTATATGGTTTTGGGCTTCCCTGGCGGTGCAGTGGTTAAGAATCCACCTGCCAATGCAGGGGACACAGGTTGGAGCCCTGGTCCGGGAAGATCCCACATGCCGCGGAGCAACTAAGCCCGTGTGCCACAACTACTGAGCCTGTGCTCTAGAGCCCACGAGCCACAACCACTGAAGCCCGTGCGCCTAGAGCCCCGTGCTCTGCAACAAGAGAAGCCACAACAATGAGACGCCCTGGCACCGCAACAAAGAGTAGCCCCCGCTCGCCGTAACTAGAGAAAGCCCACGCGCAGCAACGAAGACCCAAACGCAGCCAAAAATAAAAACAAACAAATAAATAAATTTATTAAAAAGAAAAAGACTATACAGCTTTGTCCTCAAGGAGGTTATAATCTACTTAAGATAAAGCTGATATTTATATTTTAAAAAAACCTTAAAAAATAGCACTCGAATAGGATTACCGCTATATAACGATGTAAAGAAAAGGACTCAGTTAGGTGCTCAAATAAGAACACACTGCACAGGGCTTCCCTGGTGGCGCAGTGGTTGGGAGTCTGCCTGCCGATGCAGGGGACGCGGGTTCATGCCGCGGTCCGGGAAGATCCCACATGCCACGGAGCGGCTGCGCCCGTGAGCCATGGTCGCTGAGCCTGCGCGTCCGGAGCCTGTGCTCCACAACGGGAGAGGCCACAACAGTGAGAGGCCCTCGTACCACAAAAAGAAAAGAAGAAAAAAAAAAAAAGAACCCACTGCACATAGGCCATTCGCGCTGCAGGGCCATCACGTGAGGTGGGCGTTACCCTCCTCGCCGCTAAGGGGAGAGAGAAGAAACTGAGACTTAGGAATTAAGCATTTGCCCAAGGACAAAGGCCAGGAGTTAAACCCAAGCTTCTGCTTCCAAAACGCAGAAGTGAAGGTGGTTGCTCATTGGAATCACCTGGAAGCTTCACGAAGTTCTGATACCTCTGCCCCAAGCCCCGAGCTTCTGATGTCACCATTTGGGTGTGGCCTGGGCTTTGACCTGCAAAAGCGCCCCAGGGGATTCCACTGTGCAAAGTTGAGACCCACTGATACAGAGATGACCTCAACTCCCCAGCCCCCAACGTAGGCAAGAAGTTAAAGCACAACTTTTACGGAAAGATATTATTAACAGCAATTTAACCATGCGCCACCTATCTCGTTTAATCCTCACAACAACCCATCAGTTAGGTATTGTCCTTATCCCTCATTTTCCTGATGAAGAAACTGAGGGAGGATAAGTAGTAAGCGGGACAGCCAGGATTTGAATCCAGGTGCATCTGACATCAGACCCCTCACACACAGCACTGCGCTGTATCCTCTCCAACTTCAGTCTCAGAAGCGATTTGGAAAGTCCTACAATAGATTATTCATGAGCTAAAACAGACTTGACATCCACCAATCCACTCCATGAATTACTGGTGACAATTCACTTAACCACTTTGTGCTCTGATCTCATCTGTAATGTGATACTGTAGGCAAATTAAGACCCAACAAGTATCGACTCTTGTACGCTGGAAGTATGCTGGATTCGGCCAGGAAAAACGTTTTCAGTTCCAACTTCTATTTGCCACCACGCTTGAGAAAAGTCAAATGGCACCAGCAAATCCCATTCTCTTCCAGGCTCAGAAATGAACCTGCAGTTCCAGGGTGTTTCCGTGATTCAGACCTGATGAGCAGAGAGGCTAAGCCATGTCGCTGAGGTAGGAGCAGCCAGGTGTTTGTTTTTGTAGTTACCAGGGCACTCCGGGAGTCCGCCAGAAATCTGGAGCCATCAGGATGAAGGAGAGCGAAGAGAAGATATTCCCATTCTTGTTTAGTGGGAAGGAGCAGGGTCCAAGAAGGGGTTATAAAAATATCGCACTCGGGGCACTTTCTGGCCCAGAAACTGCTGCTCTAAGTCCCTCCTGAGGCCTGTAGGTAAAGCAGGGCTGCAAAACATGCAGTTCATAGGGAACGACCTCAGGCTGGGAAGCCTTCTACTCTTTTTGGCACAAATCAAGAACCAGATGGTTCCTGCCTGCCAGTGGTCAGAGATGAGGAAAGCATAGGTCAGTTCCTGGTCTATCTGGGTCATGATCACACTGGGGACATAAAGAGCAGGGTTGCTATATTGGGTTGGATTCTATATCCAAGGACCTCCACCAGGAGGGATCAGATGTCGTGTCCTCCTTCCTGGAAGGTCAGGGTGACATGAGCTGCTGCCCCCTTGGCAGACTTCTGCATTCGTTGCCAGCCTCGACTTTCAGGCGGCCATTTGCTCCAGTCGAGGGGAGCTGGGGGACCTTGAAATAAACTCTCCACGGGAAGGCTGGCATTGCAATGCCAGCTGACCTTCCAAAGGGCACCGGAAACCAAATCTAACAGGATTCTTTCTCATTTCTTTTTTTTAACATTTTTATTGGAGTATAATTGCTTTACAATGGTGTGTTAGTTTCTGCTTTACAACATCTTTCTCATTTCTTCGTCAGCAAGAGTCTAACCCACCACCATTACGCCTCCTCACTTCAGCCCCATCAAATACTTTTTTTTTTTCCCGGTACGCGGGCCTCTCACTGTTGTGGCCTCTCCCTCTGCGGAGCACAGGCTCCGGACGCGCAGGCTCAGCGGCCATGGCTCACGGGCCCAGCCACTCCGCGGCATGTGGGATCTTCCCAGACTGGGGCACGAACCCGTGTCCCCTGCATCGGCAGGCGGACTCTCAACCACTGCGCCACCAGGGAAGCCCCGATCAAATACTTTTAACAAAGAGAAGCCATGGTAGTCAGGAGCCAAAGCAGTCTTGAGCTCTGAGAGGAAGGATGTCTTAAACGTCTTCACCTCCTGCAATGCCTGACCTCAGAAAAATAGCAGGCACTCAACAACCAGAACAAACTGTGTGTGTGTGTGGTGTGTATACTGTGTGTGTTGCTTTATAATTTACAAAGTGCTTGTTCTTTCACCATCTCATTTAACTCCTATAAGAATCATATAAGATACTGCTACTCTCCACGTTTTACTCAGAAAACAATGGCTTGGAGACATCAAGTGACTTGTTAAAGTACACACATCGGGACTGGGACTTGACTCCAGAACCCAGGATCTAAACCTTGCCCTTTTGCTCCTTCCACACCTCCACTCTGCCTCAGTAAGACATGGTCCCTTCCCTCAAGGTGCTTAAAGTTCTGCCCCCAAATCAACAATCACAAAGTTAGAGGACTAACTATCCAGACTCCCACGAGGAGACCACACACCAGAAGATGACCCACCTGCTGGGCTCACACGTCATGGTTCTACAGCAAGAGGTATGAGGACAGCAAAACATTGGGACTAGACCTGCCACTTTTGTTCAGGCAGCTGCAACGGGTCTCAGGAAGGGACGGGCTGAGCCGGGGAAACTGCTCCATTGAACTATGGTAGTGAGGAGCCACATATGTTTAACTGTGGTTTGCTAAGAGGGTGGGGTGGGGGGCGGCCCCCACACCCCCTGCCAAGGCTCCTTCCGCCAGGTAGCTTCCTCTTGCGCTATGAATCACAACGTGGCAGGAGGGGCAGCTGACTTAGTACCCTCTGCCGGCTCTCATTTCCCCCTCATTGAGGGACTTGCCCCTTTGGAGCAGCAGTTCTCGACTCTGGTTGCCCATCAGAAGGGCCTGAGCCGGTTTAAGCTAGAGGGTCTGCCCCACCCCACCCCGGGGGCTTCCTTACTCCAACCCTCCCCAGAGATGGGCTCAGGCTTTTGTTTTTAGAGCTCCCGGGGGATTTCTGATGCATAACGGGACAGCTGCCACAAATGGTCAGCAGCACAGGGAAAAGTCTACTTTGGGCAAAGCCCCCAGAGTGCAGCATTGGGCAGAGGACTCTAGACTTCCTTCTGTCCCAGGCTCAATTCTGCCACACACTAAAAGCCACTACCTTCTGTCTTATTACTTAACCTGTCTTGAGTTTCAGTCTCCTCAAATGTAAAATGGGGTTAAGCAAGGTTAAGAGTTACTGCAAGGAGTTAACATGTTTCTGCAAGAACTTTGTAAACTGTAAACATCTATAGGAACGTTGCAGTACACAAATTGCCAATATACCACTTATTGCATTGTAGCATCATTTACCAGTTTCTATGCCTGGCTCCCCCATTAGACTTTGAGCACCTCCTCGTCAGACTTAACTTTTCTTGGAATCCCCAGCGCCTAGCACAGAACAATGAGTAATAAATGCTTGTTAAATGAATATTAGAAGCCCGCCAAGAAGCGGTGAGGGTGGCAATGGAGAGCCATGGAGAGGTGCGGAGAGGAGGCTATTTTAAAGTTGATCCAAATATGCAGCGGCCACCCGAAAAGCACAGCTGCGTGGAAAGGAAGCTGCTAGACCGGGTGAAGCTGCCCCTGAGAAGAATGAAGTCAGCGTCCCAGCAGGTGGGGGCAGTCCCCCGCTAAACCCCTGACAGCTGCTGCTGCCCAGCAACTGTTTGGGGGCCGGGCGACGGGCAAAGGGGCAGCCTCCCAGGCGCACGACGCCTTCCCCAGGACCCAGCCTCCCCGAGACAGGGTGTCAGTGGCATGCATGTGCTATTTCGAACCGCGTGTCCCCTGCCAAGCTTGCTGGGTGGCGTCACCGGCAAGGGATGCGGCGCGGCCCAGGGGTTCGGGGTACCCCAAAGGGCTCGGAGCGGGGCCGCGGGAGGCTGGGCCGTAGGCGGGAGTCGGGGGCGAGGGGCTCAGCGCTGGCCTCGTCCCCCAGCCTGACAACCACCCGGCCCTGACCGGACCTCGGGGCAGCGCTGGGAACCCTTCTCCCCGGAAACGCGCGCCTCCCCTGTTACCTACTAACGACGCCCCCTGTTGCATAGCAACGAGGATCCGAGTCCCCAGTTAATCTCCCCGCCGCGCGACGTCGGAGCCCTCTCCACTGGTGCTCGCCAGGCCTCGCGGCTCCGCCCTGGTCCCGCCTGTAGCGGCCGCCGCCACAACCCAGTCCCGGGTACAGCCCCGGAGCCCCGGTCTCGGGTCGCACTCACCGGGCTCCGGCCACAGCTGTTCCTCACGTGCAACTTCACTAAAACGCGCCACTAGAGCCGCGCCACTAAAGCCGCGCCTCAATACTGGGGCGTTGGTTTATCGTCTGCGCACGCGCGAGGCGGGATGCGCCCACGGACCGGCAGGCCTCCCTCACAGCCCAAACCTGGTGCCGGTCAGCGCATGCGCCGTACCCTCTGATTACATTTTTTTCCCAAGCATTCCCACGGAGAGAAGAATGGGGTCGGAAGTTCGAGCTGGGAACGGAAGTCTCTGGCAGGAAAGGGGAAAGAGGTGACTATATCTGGGCTATAGCGTGGGTAAACTGGATCTTTGGATTTGGAGTGGAAGCTTATCCGCCTCTCAAAATCCCCTTGGCATTTCGGGGAATGTAGTTCTCCAGCTACGAGGTGCCTCCTGGGGCATTGTGGGAAATGTAGTTCTAGAGGCGCCTCAGAGCACCTGGTCTTTTGAGAAACTTTTCGCGCTAAAAAGGCACAAAGGGAAAGGGTGTCAGAGGAGCAGTAAGAGGCGCACAACCGGGAAAATGCATCCTTTCCTTCTGAGAGCACTTCCACACCCAAACAATGCAGATGGCTCCTAAATGTTCTCCGAATTTTAGAAAGGGAAGGGAAACCTACTCGCAGACCCATTTCTATATATATATATATAAAGGCAGCATTATGAGGGGGAACGCCAGGGGATTTGGAATGAAGTGATCTTTGGTCTGCTTTGTGATTCTAGCAGGTCACTTCATCTCTTTGGATCTCCTTGTTTCAACTTTGCTATTGTTAGAAAGAAAATTATAGGCTCGAAATGGAGTCACTTATTGCTAGGACAAGCCCCCAAACCGGGGATTAATACCTGACCTAGCTGAACTTTCAACCTCCCCCAGAAATGTAGTCTTAACTAGTCGGTCAGGAATTTTTTGGTCAGCACCAATGAGGCAATCTGTCACATGGGCTCTCTCTTGCCCCCAAAGGAAGATGAGATAATCTGCTATATAGACCCCTTTCATTCCCCATGGATAGGTTACCTATGCCTAAAATAATCTCCTTTTTTCTGTTTATGACTTGCATGTCCTGCCTTTAAAAACCCTTCCCTTACTGTAGCCCTTTGGAGAGATGGCATGCTGCCTGATTCATGAATCTTTTATAGCCAATTAGATCTTTGAAATTTACTGGGTTGAATTTTGTTTTTTAACTGTATAAAGTACTAGAAGGTCCTAAAACTACCTCTTCAATGCACAGTAGGTGTGGCGATTCAATGAAATAAGGGGGGTGAATATGGTTTTAAAAACATCCAAGTAGCTGTCCAAATGCTTCTATCACATTGGTTGCCATAGGCAGGCTCCCCTTTGATGTTAAAACAGTTCCTGAAACTCAACACTCTAAAATAGAGCTTTTTCCCCCCTCCCTCCCTGAATCAGCTGTCTAATTCAGCCTCCGATAGCTCTGAGGAACTGACCCCGAGAGGTAGTGGGAGAGGCCAGTATATCTGTGACTTTGGCTAAATGGTATGTGCAACCCAGCATATGTCTCAGCAGAAGGTTACTGCTAGCCATGAGGAACAGGTATCTCAGTTCATAATTTTAGGGCTTTTCTAAGTATGGGAAGATGCAAGAGTTTGGGTTCATAAAAAATTTTCCTGTCATATTTAACTATCTAAGGGCCTGTTTTCTCAAAGCACAGAGTGGATCATCCTGTCCTTCACCCTGAGTTCCTTTCAGGGTGTGTAGGTCAGCAAGTATAGCGGCTAAGGACTAGTAGACTAGTCCTTAGTAGCCTTGTGGAACTGGATGGTGAGTGGCATTCCTTGTTTTGCAGTGCCCCCCTGTGGTCATACATTTAACCAAGGTTTGGGAGGCATTTCATAACCAATTTGTCCCATGGGGCCAGTAAGGCTTATTTCTAGGTCAGGCGAGGATTTCGTGGATATGCCGCCTAATGTGAAATTACTGGACTAGACCCTGTTAACTGTAGCCATAGAAGTATCTGAACCACCTGTATTACTAGTCTGTTATGGTTCAGGAAATGATTCTCTCTTGTTGCTTCTTCCCATATCTAGAATTACACTGTTACCATCATTTTAATTTTTTATACAACTATATATTTGGTCAACTGTTTCAAGTTGCTTAGCCATCATTATTTTTGTTGGAGGTTCAATTACACATTGGGTAATACAAGAAATAACAATCTTGTAAAATAAGCAGAGTACAAGTAGTATAGCTAGCAGCATTAATAAAGTCTGAAGTAGGAATTTAAACTAAGAACTTTCATTAGGTGCAGCCCCTGGTCATCTGACCCAGTCTGTTCCATACCAGTCACTATATTTAAGGGTAATGATAAACTGGCATTGTTCATAAGGTACTCAGCCCAATTTCCCAATGTTATTAATCTGATTATCCTTAGTATAATTTAATTGTTCCCAACATAAGGGGGCTTTTAAATTTAAACAACTGTAGCCTGGTGTTAACCATAAAAATCCATCCCATAATTGAGGGACAGTCTCTCCCAATAAGCAGGAGGTTATGGTTTTTGACTGAAATTTAGCTCATTGTTCCAATTGAGCTTGAGTGAGTAACCTTTAAAAAAAAATTTGTATTTTATGGCCAGGGTCAGAGCAGGTATTATTGATTGGCCAAGTGAGGGAGTCTCATCTAGTAATATCAATAGTGGCCTGAACGGAACTATAACTTCTTTCTTCTAGAAAAAATTTCCTAAGGGCCATTCAATCAGAGCCTTGGAGTGGAGAAATCCACCAAGGTAAACCAGAAGTACTGGACACAGGTAATTGACCATAAACCCAACAATTGGATTGATCTTTAAACTCCGCATAGGACTTATGTACCGGTTGTAGAAACCAAGAAAACATTGTAACTGATCACACAGGTCAGGCCCAGCATCTCGGAATAGCTGTCTAATTCTGGTGCTGTCTTTTTTTCCTGGTGCTGGTGTAGTTTCTCCTCTGAGTGTCGTTTTAAGTTGATGGTGAACTCAGCAGTCCTCTCTATAGACCAGTCTGGTACAGAGGCCCTTTTTTTTTTTTTTTTTGGCCGTACGCGGGCCTCTCACCGTTGTGGCCTCTCCCATTGCGGAGCACAGGCTCCGGACGCGCAGGCTCAGTGGCCATGGCTCACGGGCCCAGCCGCTCCGTGGCATGTGGGATCTTCCCGGACCGGGGCACGAACCCGTGTCCCCTGCATCGGCAGGTGGACCCTCAGCCACTGCGCCACCAGGGAAGCCCCCAGAGGCCCTTTTTAAAGTGGGAGATAATGAATCCAAGAGTCAATTCCCTTCAGTTTCAGTGCACATGAGCTAGTTAAGAGTACCTGGTAAGGATCCTTTCATCTATGTTGGAGAGAGTTCTTTAAATGATGTCTTTTCCAGTAATGCACAATCTCCTGGTTGCAGGTCATGGAGCATCTGATCTTCATCCAAACATAACTAGGGTAAGCTTCAGAAACAAGATTAGAATGTCCTTTTAATAGTTCAATTAAACCTTACAATAGGGCTTCCCTGGTGGCTCAGTGGTTGAGAATCTGCCTGCCAATGCAGACAACACAGGTTCGAGCCCTGGTCTGGGAAAATCCCACATGCCATGGAGCAACTGGGCCCGTGAGCCACAATTACTGAGCCTGCGCGTCTGGAGCCTGTGCTCCGCAACAACAGAGGCCGCGATAGTGAGAGGCCTGCGCACCGCGATGAAGAGTGACCCCCACTTGCCACAACTAGAGAAAGCCCATGCACAGAAATGAAGACCCAACACAGCCATAAATAAATAAATAAATACATTGTGTATTATTTAAAAAAAAAAAAAAAAAAAAACACCTTACAATAATGCAACTTAGTAAAAAGGAGCCATCTAGGAAGTGAGTCTTCGGCAGTAAATACCGAAACTCAAACACAACTAACAGCACTAGAACTTAATATCCACAAAGGTATATTACTGAAACATAATTCTTATCTCCAAAACCACCCTCATCTCTACCAAATATAGCCAAATTAAGACTAATTTGCTTGCAAAATGAGTCTGGTTTCAATAAAATTGGCCTGATTATTTACATAAGTATAATTGTTCATATATGCTCTTTTAAATTGGCTTTGTTGGAACTTTTCATAAGGAATCTCAGATTTGAAATTTAAAAGTGCTCTCAAGGCCAGGAAAGACATGCCAAGGACTTGCCATCAGATTCTGTTTTTGGAATACCTATAAATTTGGGTGAATCTCTTTTTTCTTGAGGTACAAAATATCTTGAGGTCCTTGCATCTGCCAGGAAGTGGCTTTCTTTATTCACCTGATAAGGCTGTTGGGGATCCTGTATGCAAGATACCAGACTGTTTTTTCAAGGGATTTATGGCGCCATAAAGTCAATCTTAGTTCCTTAAAGCTGTCTGGTCATATCTGAGCCTATGCACATCTCTCTCTATTATGACATTCCAATCAAAGCCTTGATAGTATAACGAATGTTTCCAATTGTGGGCTGTTATAAGGAGAGTAGATTCTTACTGAACTTATGCAAATAACAATATTGCCATGAAAATAAGAATACTAAGAGTTTCCAAATTCTGGAGGGATCAGGTAGAGAGAAAAGATAAATGTTTCAGTTCTGCTTACAAAGGTATAATTTACCAAATTGCTGTAAGTCACAGCTTAAAGGGAAAGGTTTGTGTATATCTGGAAAACAAAGATTAAAAGTCAATAATATTTCAGACAAAAAGTCACACTTGTTGATCTTCATAGTTTTACGAAGCCATGAGGTTTTCCATTCGAATTCTTTAATTTCTTACCCAATTCAGCCGTATAATCTGAAAGTTATCAGAACCCTGTAC